GAGCGACAGACTCATGGCTGTTGGTGTTGATCCCACTCTGTCCTGCCCAGAACAGCAGAGCAGATAGTTAGAGTGGCTCACCCCCCACCTCACCCTGCCCCTTACTGTTCTTCATGGCACCATCCTGGCCTGGCCTCCTGGAGAGGCCACCAGGGCTTGCTGTGTGGCCCCAGGAGCTTCACCAATCTCTGGGGCCATTGGGCTATGTATGGATGGCGTGGGGCGAGAAGTGAGACTAAGCTGCCGACAACTGACCACAAGGTGGCAGTAGAAGCCTGCGTTTTAGTCAGTTGCCGCCGGCGCAGATTTGCAGATTTTCAGGGGCTGGGGTGTGGGGACACCACCCAGAAGACAGGGAGGATTGTGACACTAGAGGGTTGGGGCGGCCTCTGTCACACCTTGCACCTCGATGATGTCTGTCACCCAGCAGCCCTCGAGGGCCTCTGCCTCAAGGTAGCTTGGTCTCTGTGACTACATGTACCTCAAGTACACAAGCCAGTGTAATGGCGAGCGTGCCTGTGTGTGTGTGTGTGTGTGTGTTTTGTAAGTTTTAAAAAAACAACATACTTTTAAAACTAAGTTAATGTCAGTGTAGTGGCGTGCCTTTGACTCCAGTACTTGGAGGGGGGGGCAGGAAGAAGAAGAGGAGGAGGAGAAGGAGGGAGAGAAGGAAGAGGAGAAGAAATAAGTAAATAAAAAAATAAGCAAACAAAGAAGAGAGCTGGATGGTCCCTGAGGAACAGCACAGTGCCCTCCGGCCTCCATATCTTCTGCATGTGTGCATGCACGCACACCAAGTAAGAAAATAAATGACATCTGAACTGACCATATTTTTGTTGCTGTTGCTGCTATTCCCTGAACGATACTGTCTAGCAACTATTTACCCAGACTTGACCTTGCTTTGTCATTCCAAGTAATCTGAAGATGACGGAAGGCGTGCAGGAAGATGTGAAAGCGCCATGGCATGTTTGCAAGGGCCTACACATCCACGGGGCTCGGTGTTCACGGAGGCCCCAGAGCTGAAGCTGCCGCGATTCTGAGGGCAACTGGATTATCGGGATTAAAATAAGCTGAAGAGTTCGCATTTGCGGGTGAGCTTGAGCTTGGCCGGGTGCAATGGGATCCGCACAAGGGACAACCCCCCTGCAATGATGCCGTTAACGAAACAGTTCCTAGGCTAAGAAGATGGCTCAGCGGGCGAAGCACTTGCCAAGCAAGCCTAAGGACCTGAGCTTGAAGCCCCAGGACTTGTGTGAAGCCGGCATGGGAGAGCATGCCTGGAACACCACCCTTCTGAGGCGGGATGGGAGGGGAAGGCAAGAGAATTCCTGGAAACTCATAGGCCTGGTAGCCTGGTGTGGCAAAAGAGAGAGCCGGTCTCGGTCTCAAACAGGTGGAAGGTCAGGACTGTCACCTGAGGTTTTCCTCCACTCATGCGCCATGGCACGAATGCATCCATACTCACATGAACACACACACACACACACACACACACACATACACACACACACATACACACACACACACGTATGCATACAACACAAAGAGATTAAAAATTCAAAAGAAAATAAGTTATTAAAAAAATCCCTTCAAGTGTAAAATTTCCAGCCTTGAGGGTCCCTTTAAAGTGAAGCGACATGAGACTCAGCTTGTCCTACAATGAGGGCAAACAAGCTAGATAGACTTTTTCTAAAGCGCTGCTGGGACCCTGTCGTTGCTTTTCAGCTTGTCACACTGCTCTGTCAAGAAGCCTAAATTTAGATGGCTCCTTGTTCAGAAACCAGGACATTCCATTTTTGTCCAGAAAGCAATGACACAGAGCTGAATCCTATGCAGTTGCTGGTAATTTATGAAACCTTCGAATGCAGCTGAAGAAACTGGAGATGTTAATTGCATTGTTATTTATAGTGGCATACATTAAAAAAATCTAAATGGTGAAACGGAGGAGAAAATAAACCATGGCATAGTTAATCAAGGAATATTATGTAGACATTAAGAAGATGGTCAGAGGGCCTGGGAGAAAGCTTAGTCAGTAAGGCGCTTGCTGTGAAAGCATGAAGGCCGAGCTCAAGCCTAGGAGCCACCCTGGAAAGAAGCAGACAGGACTACTGCTGCCTACTTGTAACGACGGGAAAGCAGAGACGGAAGACCTCATTGGCTCACTGGTCAGCCCACCCAGCTGAGAAAACAGTGATTCTCAGGCGGGAGACCCTGTCTCTAAAACCAAGTGTTGCCTTGAAGAACGGCACCTGGGATTGATCTTTGCCCCCTCTCCCACAAATAATAGGAACAGTAACAATAACAGTAAAAATAAAACATGTTAGCTATGATGACATACGCCTATATGTAATTCTAGTACTTGAAAGGCTGACACAGGACTACACTGTCTTACCAAAACACAAAAAACAAAACAAGAAACCAAACCAAACTAGAGGCAAAAAGAAAAAGAAACAACAATTAAGCATTCAGCCAACCTATCAATCAATGAACCAACCAGCCATCTGATCAACTAATCAACTACACAACCATCCATCCATCCATCCATCCATCCATCCATCCATCCATCCATCCAACCAATCAACTAAACAATCATCCAACCCATTAATCAACTAGTGTTGCAACCAACAATCAGCTAACCAATCAACCATCCAACCACCCAATCAACTAGCCAACCAACCAATCATTTAAGTAACCAATTAACCAACCAACCAATCAACTAATTAAGCAACTGACTGACTGACAAGTCAACCAACCAATCAACTAACTAATTAGCCATCTTACCAATAAACTAACCAAACAACCAACTATCTAACCAACCTGTCAACCAATCAACCAATAAGCAGCCAACAAACCTATCTACCAACCAATAAACCAACCAATCAACTAACCAACCTATCAACCAACCAGCCATCTAGCCAACCAACCTATTAATCAACCAAGCACCCAATCAATGAACCAGTTTATCAATCAACCAACCAATGTATTAACCAACTAACAACCCAACCAGCTAGCCAACTAGTGGACAACAGACAAGCAAACAGCAGACAACAGAAACCCTCAAAGGGTAGTCATGACGACTTAGTGGGAAGGTGGGAAACATGAGGTTCGATGGGAAATACGAGGTTAGAAGAAAGGCAGGGAGTAAAATTGCATGGATGCTGTTATTGTTGTGTGGAATGCATTTGAAAACAGGAGAAAGGCTGTTTGTCTCAGGGATTGCAGTGCTTTAAAAACGATTATTTATTTCCATGCATGCATGTGTGTGCGCACCACAATGGCACGCAGAGGTCAGAGACAACTTAAGGGAATTGGTTCTCTTCTTTCATGTGGGCACCAGGGATCAAACTAAGGTCATCAGCCTTGACAGCAAGTGCCTTTGCTCACTGAGCCATCTTGCTTGCCCGAAACTGCAGTACTCTCCATGCGGGAAGTTCTTTATGTCTTTCCAGAGGCGAGGTTTTGTAGCATGGCATCCTTGCAAAGAAAGCATTTGGTGGGGCTGTGTGACCGGGACAGCACCAGCAGTGCTGGGATTCAGGGCCCCAGCAGCAGCTCTGCCCTGGACTCGAGGACCCCCAAACCACCTCAGCTTTTTCACCCGCGGAGGATTCTTCCAGCCAGGCATGGTGGTGTACGTATTCAGTGCCAGCATTCAGGAGGCCGAGGCAGGAGAATCACTCAAGGTCAGCCTGGGTTACAGGATGCTGTCTTGTCTCAAAACAAAACACACTTAAAATAAATCTAGGCTGGGAGAGAGTTCAGTGCTGAAGTGCTTGCTCCTAGGAGGGGCCTCTGAGGAGGCAGATGGAGAAGGAAGCAGAGGCAGGCTGGGTGCTCGCTCTCCTTTCCAGGCTAAAGGAGAGACTCCTGGCCCTGGTAGCTGGGCTCAGCCGGCTGCTGATCAATGGAGGGTTTCTAGCTGGCAGCTGTGAAGCCATGTCTCCCCTGTGGCCTTGTCACACACCTGCTTCAGGCTTTGCCCATCCTTCATAACCCTCTGCCTTGACCCAGAGCTTTCAGGATTCAGATTCTCAGGGCTGGGTGTCTTCGAGGGTCATGTGATGCCTCAAACCCTGTTTCTTAAAAAACAGAGTGATCTAGTGGCTATGGCTTTTGGACCAATTCCCTGTATTTTTGTTGCTGCTGTGTTGAGACAGGGTTTCATGTAGCCCAGGCTGGCCTTTTGAGCTCAGTATGTGTAGCTGAAGAAGGCACTCAGCATTCTGCTCTGACCTCCCTGTGTGCACACTTACACACTCACACACATGACACACACACACACACACACACACACACACACACACACACACACACTGGCCATGGGGATTCACACCATCGTGAATCTGAGGCTGGCCTGGGCTACATAGCGAGACTCTGTCTCTAGACAGACCTACACACAGACAGACATGGAACATCAAAGACGTTTGCACGTTTGCAAGGAGGTTTGCTCGGGTTGAGAGCTCATGTGCATCTCTACATGCTTACACTTACCGCTGCTGATCCCGCTGTGGGCCCCTGTGCCCTCACATCACCTCACAAAGGCCCACAGGCCAGGGGGAGACCACTCTGAAACTCAGGAAGCAAGGCAAGAGTTTACTTTCTGCAGCGGGCGACTTGCCGGAGATGTCCGAGGTGCCTTGGCTGTCTCTGAGGGATCCTGCTCCAGAGCTGCCTGAGCCTGCACTCCGCTGTTGGGAAGACTGGGGAGGGTCTTGGGGGTAGCTTGTTCCTGGCTACTTCTTTCATATTGCCTCCGTGTGAAGAAGCTAGGGTGCTTCAGACTTTTGGTTGTTGCCTAGGAAACGCCCACAGACTCCCTCTGGCTTCACCAGCCCTCAGTGGTAGGGACGATGGCTAACGATGGCTAACAGCGGAAGTCACACGGTTGGGGTAGCACGTGACTGGTCTCCCGCCTGTTGTGGTGCAGACACCGTTGTTGGTTATGGTAACAGTTGCCTAGGTTACCTTTCAGGGATCCGAGGTCTGCTTTTGTTGACAACTCTGACTCCTCGCTCGGGTCTGCAGATGCCCCATGAGTGATGGGAACAGGGTGTGAAGGTTGGTGTCTCCGTCAGCCTGCTTTGCTGCCCGAGTCTGTATGTCAGACCCCATCTGTCTCTGCAAGCAGACAAGGAGCTCCGTCAAGAAATGCTTTGTTCAGAACTGTGTTACAGGATGAACCTGACCTAGACTTTCCTGAGCTCCCTCTTCCTCTTCCAGGATGAAAACACATACGATCTGCTGTGACCAGAATCACAAGACCTTGAAAGGGGGAAAAGAGGCATCCTTGAAGGTAGGAGAGATGGCTCGGTTAGCAAGGTGCTTGCTGTGTGAGCATCGATGTAGGTGACACTTTTTAAACTCTGTTTGACTTGGGGTTCCTTATCCTTCACCTCCCTTCCAATCTCCCGACCCTAGGGAGGAGAGAAAGAAGTTAGAAGGGAGAGGGGGCGGAACTCTCTTCAGCTACTTCTGGCTAGTTAGGGTTGTTGGGTTCTTTGGGAAAATATATCAATCCCGGTCTTCGGGATACCCAGCAGTCCAGCAGAACCAGCAGCCTTCTTTCTTCTCGGAGTGTCTTTTTCCTCTCTCTGCTCTAGTATCTGTACCCTCCCAGAATCCTCTGAATTAAACCGACCACCACTGGCAGCGACTGCACCCCTCTGAGCCGCATGAGGCAGTTATCAGCCGGTATAGACCATGGGCTTCAGGATGCGGTTTCCAGCTGTGGACACACGAAGGCCGCCTCATATCCCCCACTTGGGATTAAAGCAAGAACATACTTACGTTACGGAACCGAGTCTTTAAGGAAACCCAAACTTCCACTGCACTTGAGGGTCTTATTGGAGCTCAGAAGCCCCACACAAAGCCGGGCATGGTGGCACATTTCTCATCCCAGAGCTGGGGAGGCGGGGATGCGCAGGGCCTTGGGCCTCTCGAGAGCCAGGCAGCCTCATCTGCTCTGGACACCCAAGACCCAGTGAGAGACACTGCCTCAAAGAATAAGGTGGATGTCTCCTGAGAAACAGCACACAGACACACATATGCACACACACACACACACACACACACACACACACACACACACACACACACAAAGGCATCAGAAATTAGCACACAGGGCATGGAGGATGTCTTAGTGTTTCATTGCTGTGAAGAGACACTGGGACCGCAGAAAATCTTATAAAGGAAGACATTTAATTGGGGCTGGCTTACAGCTCAGAGGTTCATTTTCATGGCAGGAAGCATGGCAGCATGCAGGCAGACTTGGTGCTGGAGAGGTAGTTGAGAGTTCGACATCCGGATCTGGAGGCAGCAGGAAGAGAGAGGGATGCTGGGCCTGGCTTGAGCACCGGAAACCTCAAAGCCCGCCTCCAGTGACACACTTCCCCCAACAAGATCACACCTCCTAACAGTGCTGCTCTCTATGCCTACGGGGAGGGGGACGTTTTTATTCAAACCAGCACAGGGGAGACATTTGAGATGTGTTATGTGCTTTGAATTTTTTTTTCTTACATCAGCTTCCTCAGAACAGTTGCTGACTGTGAAGCCTGGACCACCATAGTGAGCCCCTGTGGTAAGCTCGAATCCTGGAGGTGGAGATGGCGGATCGAGGCTGGAAACGTACGGTTCCTTGAGACAGCTGTGACTCCCATGTGAGCCCAGTAAGCCCATGCTATTTTTCTTTCCTTCTCTTGTTTACTGATGTAGCTAGACTGGATGCCGGCCCTGGGAATTACAAGTGTATGGCACGATGCCCGGGCTTCCCACGTGGAGTCTGAAGGTCAGACTCGGCCTCAAAGGTTTGCCTGGTGTCCCAGATTCTGTTGCTATAATAAATACATGGATGAAAAGGAAGTTAGTGAAGAAGGTCCACAGTTCCAGCTGGTCAGACACAAGCCCAGCCCAGAGCGGTGAGTGGCCGGATGCCTGCTTCCGGCTGGCTTGCCTGTGCTCAGCTCAGTTTCTCCTCCCTTGAGGAGGTCAGGATTCCCCGCCTAGGGAATTGCGTCACCCACGGTGGGCTGGGCCTTCCCACACTTAGTTAAGACGATTCCCCACAGACATAAACACAGGCCAACCTGAGGTAGACACCTCAGTCGAGACTTTCTTCCCAGATTGTTCTAGATTGTGTCAAGCTGCCCATCACATGGGGCCAGCGCTCTACTGAGTGAGCCATCTCCTCAGCCCTGCACGCTGTTTTTCCTTCGCTACTGAGATTTGTGGTTTGTTACGGAGCAGTAAGGGTCAGATACAAATGAATGGGGGTGCTCAAAATGCCACGTGCGTTTAGACAGACTGAGCTCCCGAATCAGGGAGATCACATGTCCACGCAAGGCTTTCCAGAAAACTCGGCTCAGTCTTGCCCTCTCTCGCTGTGACTTGCGGGATAATGATGACATTTGAAGACTTGCCCGTTATCAAGCAAGAGGATGAGAAAGAACCCTCTGGCAAGATTTCAGCGTTGAAGGAGTCTTAGGAGGCAGAATCGTTTATAATAAAACGCAGTGACTTGAAGGCTTTAGTTTTCAGTTATTAAGATGGTAGGGCCAAAGCTCAGCCATGCAATTTAGCTCTTAGCTCTGATCGATAATATCGCCCCAGAGTCCGACATCTAAATACCCCTGTCAATCAACACCCATTATGCGATTCTTACTCCATGCAGTGTGCCCCGTGGAGTGGTGGGAAGGACATAGGAAGTGAAAAGTTGTTCTTGCTCCATGGGGATAACTGCTTTCGAGAAAATACAAACCACGAAACAGAAAAGACCCATTATTCCTCAAAATGCTGATAGAATTGTTTTTTTTTTTTTTTTTTAAATCATTGGGTTCTTTAGAACTTCATTTTGAAAATTTTTTATAGGACTCTATGCTTATTTTAGAAATAACTCAAAATGCAAAAAAGCATAAAGACAAATAGATTTCCAATAACTTTAATTGTCCATTGTTGTTGGCGTTTTGCTGAATACCTTTTCTGAGAAGTTTCAAGGTCCGTGTGTTGTTGTGCACACGGTTGGGAGAGCCAGTTGTCTGTAGCTTTGTCCTGCCTCGAATGCCGTGGAGCTGGCCTGGAACTCAGGGCAACCCTCTTGTCTCAGCTTCTTCACTGCTGAGATCGCAAGTACTAATGTCAGGCCCAGCTTGTACCCAATTGAAAAATTACTTTATTTTATGTGTGTGAGTATTTTGCCCTGTATGTCTGTCTGTATACCATGTGTGTGCCTGGTACCCATGAAGGCCGGAAGAGGGCGTTATGTTCTCCTGGAACTGAAGTCACAGCGGGTTGTGAGCGGCCATGTCAGTTCTGGGAGCTGAACCTGCGTCCTCTGAAAGAGCTGTAAGTGCTCTTAACTGCTGAGCCGTCTCTCTAAATAAAAGAAAATCAAGTGTGGTGGGAGTTAATCCAGCTGGTAAAGTACTTATGGACAAGCACAGGGAACCAGGTTTGGATCCTCATAACCCACATAACTACATGGTCAAGTGTGGTGACACGCACCTATAATCTCAGCGTGGGGGAGGTGGAGGCAGGCTTGTTGGGGCTTGCTGGTCAGCCAGTTTAGCCGAATAAGTGAGTTCCATGGTCAGTTACAGATCATCTAAAAATAAGTGGAAAGTGATTGAAGACAGCACAGGGTGCTGATGCCCAGCCTTCACGTTTGCACACACAGGTACCTTCATACCAGGAGACATCACACATACATACACACACACACACACACACACACACACACACACACACACACACACTTCAATACCATCCTTGGTTACATAGTATAGCAAGTTTTAGGTGATTCCAGGACACGTAAAGACTGTGTAAAAATAAAACTTTTTAAAAAGGGTCTGGAGAGATGAACCATTGGGAAAGAGCATCGCTCTTCTGTCAGAGGACCGAGGTTTGATTCCCAGATACACACACAGGCAAAACCCCCACACATGTAAAATAAAATTCTTTTACTTTATATTTAGAAAGAAAAAAAATCAGTATTATATTGACTTCTCCTTCTCCTAACACGGACATCTTTCTATGCCATTATTGATGTGTAGAGTAATTTTAATGGCTATAGAACTTACGCTGGCATGAAGGGAATCTCCTATTGATCGACATTTTGGCTATTTAAATTTTGGCCTGTTATAAAGAGCAATTCCATAAAATCCCTGAATTTTCTTGCATGAATAACTGTCCCCTCACAGTTGCAGGGCAAGTTTGCAGGACTAGAATGTCTAGGCCACAGCTTCTCAACCTGTGGGTTGTGACCCCTTTGGGGTGAATGAGCCCTTCATAGGGGTCATCCAAGACTGAAATATTTACGTTATAATTCCTAACAGTAGCAAGATTACAGTTACAAAGGGGGAACAGAAGTAATTCCATGGTTGTGGGTCACCACAGCATGAGGAACTTCATTAAAGGGTGGCAGTGCTGGGAAGGCTGAGAACTGACGCCCTAGGCTGAAGCCATGACCCCTATGGCGTGACCATCTTCATTTTCCCTTGACTGCACAAGATTGCCTAGGAGAAACCTTCCCTGGGGGTGGGGAGGGGGGTCAGTGACGAATTTTCAGAGCTGTACAGCTGAAGTGGGACCTCCACCCTGGATGTGGGTGGCGCCATCCCACAGGCTGGGGTCCCCGACTGAATAAAGGGAGACAGCGAGCTGAGCACCAGCATCCATCTCTCTCTGATTTCTGGCTACGATGCAGTGTGGCCAGCAGTCTCATACCCTTGCTGCCAGCCGTACCTTTCTGGGGGTGACAGACCATACCCTCAAACTGTGAGAAACATAAAGTCCTTTCTTCAGGTCTCCACCCCCCCAGCAGGTATTTTGTTATAGTAACAAGAAAAGTAACTAATACAGATTATTATGTCACAACCGAAAAACATAAGGAGACTAGAGGTTGTGGCTCAGTGGTAGAGCCCCTGCCTAGAATTCCCCAGTGAGGGGCTGGGGTGTGGCTCAGTGGTAGAGTACCTGCCTAGAATCCCCCAGTGAGGGGCTGGGGTGTGGCTCAGTGGTAGAGCAGCTGCCTAGAATCCTCAGTGAGGGGCTGTGGCCATGGTTCAGTGGTAGAGCACCTGTCTAGAATTCCCCAGGGAGGGGCTGGGGTGTGGCTCAGTGGTAGAGCACCTGCCTAGAATCCCCCATTGTAGCGCTGGGGTGTGGCTCAGTGGTAGAGCTCCTGCCTAGAATTCCCCAGTGAGGGGCTGGGGTGTGGCTCATGGCACAGTGCTTACTTAGCATGCGCAGCAGCATTCTGAGTACCATCCTAAGCACCATCAAGAAAAACTAAAGCAATACCTGACAAATTTGGGTCTCTTGATCTCGAACGTTATCCTCCCCGAGTGTATACGTTTATTTCCAAAGCTTTATGTAGTTACAATTCCTCAATGGCTGCAAATGTGCCGTTTTCAGCACGGAGTGCTCAAATCCTGTCTCTGATTCTCTGAAGCGCACAGAGGAACGGTTTTCTGGTGCCCGTGTGGTGAAAGGACAGGGCAGACTTGCACGGCACCCTCCTGGTGGTAGGAACCCTCGCTATCTCTGTAGAGGTTCTGCCCACCTCACTGGCCCCTGTACCTGCAAGACTGTTGCTCTGGTGTCCATACCTTCCAACTGCTGTGGACATCCTTGGGACTGCAACCTGGCAGCTGCAGCTGAGACCAGAGTTACGTGTGCTCCAAGTTCCCCGTGGCTTCTGTCTTCGTCTCCTTTGTTTGTGTTCTGATAAGATACTCCAACCAAAGCAACTCAAGGGAGGAAGAGTTTTTTGCTTCAGCTCACAGTTCAAGAGTACAGACCATCATGGCGGGAAAGTCAAGGCAGCAGGAGCTTGAAATGGCTGGTGACATCTCACCTTCACGAAAGAAGCAGAAATCAATGGATGTGGGCTTGTGCTAAGCCCAAGGTCTCCAATGATACACCTGGGAATCCTGGTCAAGGTGGTTCTTCCCACATAAGGAAACTAAACCAAGGCCGTCCCCCATCTGCACGCCCAGAAACCCACCTCCATCTCCCCGATGAGTCTACATCCTAACAAGTTGACAATAGCAACTATGATCACTCCCTGAAGATTAAGACTGAGAGCCCCTCCCCACGACCTGCTAACCAGCCATGGGTCTCTGTGTTAATGCCCCTGGCTCTCTTGGCCTTTCTGTCTCTCTTTAATTTCAGTCCTAAGTCTGACACTATGGCAAGTGAGATAATGGAAAGGGATGGTGGCAGGAGGGGAGAGGGACCTGCAGTTCCCACGTTTCACGTGACAAGTGGATTCCATAGGTTCTTCCAAATAAAACTTGCTTTTCTCCTTCTGTCGTCTCTGAGGCTGGCTGGGGAAACCTGAGGTGGGCAAGGGACAGGAAAGGACCCTTCCCTAAAACCCATGCCTTGTCTACGAAAGACAGTGATGCTGTTATAGCTTGCTCCTGGGGTGGGGGTGGGGGAAGGTAGTTTCTCTATTTTCCATTCTTGTGCATGGTTTATGAAGCAGAACACACATAGAGTTTGAAAATGAAAACTCAGAGACGTTCATCTGTAAGGTGGAAGGGGCAAACTAGACTAGGAGAAAAGCGTTCTGGGAAGACAGAGACAAGTGGATCCCTGGGGCTGAGTGGCTGGCCAGCCTAGCTGACTAGGAGAGGTTCAGGCCAGCGAGAGACCCTGTCTCCAGAAAACCCAGGTGTTCTGCAAGGCTCAGGGGCCGCTGCAGAAGAGGCGGCATAGAGATCTTCAGAGCCAGAGGTTGGGAAGGACCAGGGTTTCGACAGGATGGCTGCTTGCATAAACTCACAGCAGCTGTGGTTCCCAGCACGAGACCTGCACAAGATCAAGCCTGCAGGCCCACAGGCCTAGAGTGGGGAAGGGAGAATGAGCCTCTCTCCTTAGCTGAGGAGCTGCCCACAGCTGATGGCATCTGGGGAGGGAGGGTCAGTTCTCCCTAAAGCAGTGTCCCTCCCTAACTTCGCAGCCTGGGTGTGTGCAGGCACCAGAAACTGGACTCACTGGGTTATGAGAAACAAAACCCAAACCAGAGTACTCGGAGGAACCACAGAGGAAGCTGCTCTGCAGCCCGCATGTGTGTTAGCGTGTACTGTGCACACACATACACGTGCTGGGGAAGGGAGGGGAGGGGGGAGGGAAGAGGGAGGCAGTGGGAGACACACACACACACACACAGAATGCGGTGCGGGCTTGGTCGCTACATAACAAGCTCCTTTTAGCGAGAAGGCGCACTGTTGTGAACACTGGGGCCCTGGAAACCGCTCCTAAGTCTACAGAGCTCGACACCTCAAAAGCTGCCGAGGAAACTGAGAAATGCGCCCTTACAGTTCTTTCAGTTATCAGTAAGACCTGCAGACACAAAGCCAGGAGGACCACGGGAGCCAAGCAAGCACTACCCCGTGACCCCAGCATCACACTCCGAGTTCAGCGCTGGCGATGTCGAAAGCACAGCACACGGAGACCCACAGACATTAATCACACAGCTGCTGGGCCACACGGCGGCCTCGATAAATCTCACGGAAGAGGTTTCCCACGGCCCTTGAGCGCTGATCACATTGCTATTAAGTTAGAAGTTAATACAGAAGGACACCTTGAAAAATGCTCTCTGGACGGGCGCTGGGGAGCACGCCACTCCACCACGTAGGGGCTAGATGAAAGCTTTCCAAGTCGTTTCTTTGAGACAGGGCCTTGCTTTGTAGCCAAGTCTGACCTGGAGAGTTCTCTGCCGCCTAGGCTGGCCTTGAACTCACAGTAGTCCTCCTGCTCCAGCTTCCAGGGCGGCTTTTAAAATACAAATTACTTAAGCTCAAGTCATTCTAATTAAATTTAAATATTTAGAGTAAAATCTTAGATAATTGGCACACCATTCTAAAATTTAAGTTTATATTTCTTTTAGCAAGACTTTATATATATATAAAATATATATGTAAATATATATATATATATATTTTTTTTTTTTTTTTTTGAGACAGGGTTTCTCTGTGTAGCCCTGGTTGTCCTGGACTCACTTTGTAGACCAGGCTGGCCTCAAACTCACAGGGTTCTGCATGCCTCTGCCTCTGGAGTGCTGGAATTAAAGGTAAGCCACCATGCCCAGCTCTTTTGTTTTTAAAAAATAATCTATCTGTTTTACATACATTGGTGTTCTGCCTGCCTGTATGTCTATGCAGGTGCCCAGGGAGGGCAAAAGCCGGCGCCAGGTCGTTTGGAACTGGAGTGCTAGGCGGCTGTGAGCCGCTTGCTGGGGTGCTGGGAGCTGAAGTCAGGCTCCCTGCAGAAGCAGCAGGTGCTCTTAGGTGCTGAGCCACCTCCCAGCCCCACGCTTCGTACTTCCTTTATGGAGCAAAATTCTAGACTGCACATCAGCTTGCTTGTGAGAACGCTATCAACCCGCTACTTTAACAGGAAAACCAAACGCAGTTGAAGATTTCTTTGCAATTTTGTATTGTGGGCCTAGAATGCTCAGAAAGTAGGGTTAAAGTTCTAAAGCGTGTGACGTCACCCTTTCCATCACGTGCTGATGTCACGATGTTAGGTGTTCACGGATTTCAGTTTGCTCACAGTCTTTAAGGGGTGCTGGGAGATGTCTCAGCACAGCTTGTTGCTCGGTCCTGAGACCCAGCGTTTGGACCCCAGCAGCCGTGTGAGAAAGCCGGGCTTGCGGCACACATCTATGCCCCCGGCTCCAAAGTGGCCGGCAGAGACAGGAGGGTTTCTGAAGCTTTCTGGCTTCCAACTTAATTCAGAGGAAAAAAACCCCACAAAAACAACAACCGAAACAAAACAAAACTGAGTCTCAGGTTCAGGGAGAGATCTTGCCTCGACTAAACAGAATGTCGCCTTTTTCTGGTCTCCACACACAGATGCTAACACAGGTGCACTGAGACCCGTTCTGTCTTTTTAGGGCTGAATGGTAGTCTGTGTATCCATGGAAACACGAGGAGTGTGACGGAGCGGTCTGCCTTCCCACATCGCCATCACGCTCTTCGTCACAGCACAAATACCCCTGGTGGCTGAGAAGACACAGAAGGTGCAACTCACCAGGGTAGAGACACCTTGGAATTTATTTCAAAAAGAGAAATGTGGGCTGGAGAGATGGCTCAGTGGTTAAGAGCACTGTCTGTTTTTCCAGAGGTCCTGAGTTCAATTCCCAGCACCCACATGGTGGCTCACAGCCATCTGTGATGAGATCTGCTGCTCTCTGCTGGAATGCAGGTGGATAAGCACACAGGACACTCAGATACATGAAATAAATGAATAAATATTTTAAAAAAGAGTAAAAGTAAAAAGAGAAATGTGGTCAACTTCGGTTTTATTTTGTCATTTTCAAATAACAGCTTATCAATCTGCCTAATGTTATACATTCTAAACAATCCATTTTCTCACCCTAGTTGAAGGCTGATTTTATGGGCCTTTCTAAGCTTCTGTGGTATCTGGACACCCAGGAAAGAATCTGAGCTATCCAACTTGTGGTGATTTGGGGCTCTGCAGAGTGCTTCCCACTAGCACAAAGCCCTCACCCGATGCCCGACAGGGGCCAGAACTGTAAGGGTTTTTTTTTTTTTTCTTTAAAAATTGTCCAGTCTGTGGTATTCCGTTACAGAGACAAACCAACCACAGCAGTAGCCTGTCATGATATGTGTGACAATATCATATGTGTGGTGTGGTACTTTCGTACGTGTGATATGATACTTTCATATGCTTGGTATGATTTTACACTACATGATAATTTCACAGCCCCTCTATCTCCTCTATCTCTTCCTTACTTTCTCCCTCCTGCCCTGATAACATTCACACACACACACACACACACACACACACACACACACACACACACACCCCTTCCTCAGTATTATAAACCAGAAGCTCCTTTCAGATGGTCACCAATGGAGTCAGAAAAGAACGCGTGGGAAGAACAGAAACGGGATTTCAACGTATATTCTGGTATGGTTTTGATACTGGAGCCGTGGGACTCATTTCAGTAAATTTTAAGATAAAATTAAATCCAACTAGCGCCAACAAGTCTTTCCAAACGCTGTGTTTTATTTGCTTTCTCATTTATGTGTGTGTCAGTGGGTAAGGACATTTGCTGTGCAAGCTTGAGGACCAGAGTTCAAATCCGCAGAACCCGGGAGGAGCCAGGCTTGTTGGTACTTGCTTGTAACTGCGGCAGGGATACTGATGCTGGAGGCTCACTGTGGCTTGTTGGCTGCCAGCCTCGCTTAAGGCTCAGAAGGAGGCCCCCGTCTAAAGGGACTGAGGCAGGGTCTCCTCCTCTGGCCACTGTGGCTGCACACGGATGCACCCACTCATGCACACACGTGCGCATTCACCATCACACTCCGTGCAACCTTCCCCCAACTCTGCACAAAACCAAACCAAAGAACACACACAACAACAACAACAAAAGGCATTCCTGTCATGGGGGGGGGGGGCTGTGATGGTTAACCACCTGGGACATGAGCCTCCAGGCTTGTCCCCAGGAGAACATGTTGACTAGCACCAGACCCTGGACTGCATGAAAAAGGGGAGGAGACAAGCTGAGCACCAGCTTGTGCTCTCTGCGCTCCTTGACTGTGGATGAAACATGAGCAGCCGCCTCCTGCTCCTGTCAGCCTGCCCTCCCCGCCATGATGGACTGTGCGTCCTCCGACTGTGAGCCTGAGCAAACCCTTTCTTCCTCGAGTTTGTCAGGGTAAGTCACCGCAGCAGCAGGACACAGAAGACGCTGTGGCAGAGACCCCGAATGACCCGAGAGGACGACGCTCTGACATTTAGAGTTGAAATTTAGGAAATGAAATGAGCCAAATACCACGTGACCCCCGGGGAATCTAAAAACACTGCATTCATAGAAGTGGAGGGCTAGAACCTTCTGGAGGTCTGACATGCAGCGTGGAACTCACCAGGTAGGCTAGTCTGGCTGGCTGTGGAGGCTCAGCTTCCTCCTGCTTCCACCTCCTCAGGGCCTGGGTTACAAGCTCACACCACCACGTGTGGCTTTTTAAATGTGGATGCTGGGGTCGGCACTCAGGTCCTTATCCTTGCTCAGTGGGTGTGAGCACTGTTACTTTGAATGGAAAGTACCAACTGTCCCCCAAGTCCCTGGTCCCAAATGCTCCTCACCTGCGGGAAGAAGCCCTCGCCCCGCAGGGCGCCATCTGCCGGCATCATCCTGCTTTATGTTTCTGCAGTGGGGAAGCGGTGCCTAATTCTATCCTGATTTGCATCTCCCCGTTTACTGAGCACACACTCATTTTTAGATTGAACTAAGAGCAGTGAGTGGGTCTCAATGAGGGACAA